GAGTTGGTTGCACCGGTATCAAGTAGACCCAATGACTACCGTATTCCCTGTCACCATGCATCCCTAAGAATCTGCTGATGAGTTCCCTCAACATCTCACTAACTGTACAGAGGAATGCTGGATTGCGTCCCCTTCTAGGAGAGGCCTTATCTTGTTTTACGGTGAAGTTATATGCAATATGGGCAACATGCTCAATGTCTGTGGGGCGAACATCCCCGGGACATTTCATTCCTGAGATTTCAGAGTCAAGCAGATAAATTTCAAACAACAGATCGATAACTAATTTGAAGAGAAAAGCAGAGAGAGGACATTCCTGAGATTTCAGAGTCAAGCAGATAAATTTCAAACAACAGATCGATAACTAATTTGAAGAGAAAAGCGAGAGAGAGGACAGACTTGCCTTACACGTGGTGGACTCAGGAAAATGCTTCCCGTAGGAGTTGTAAAAGACATGATAAATGTGAGTGTGACATTCTCAGTGAAACCTTTTCCGTGAAACTAACTTGAGAACGCCGTCGTCTGGGGCACCAACCCACAGCTCCCAGTTACATACTTAATTTTATTAAGAGTAACCTCCGATTTCCTGTTTCCATCCAAGTAAACGCGTTTTATCCTCGCCAGTAATTTCAAACGATCTGAACGATACAGTGCAGTCCCTCAGTCAATAGTGGTTTAGATACGGAATGTCTCTTGTCATCTTCACTGCTCATTCATTGACATGCCCAGTTGCGAACCGGCATCCTACAGGAACTACATTTACCGTGACATCAAACAGTGAACTAGGGGATAATTAGGCCATGGGAATCTCAGATTAGCCTGGTTCCTTCTGAATTCATATATTACCTACCTTTGCCAGACGCTCCTCTCGACCCATGTTCCTAACGCGGAGCCGACGTGTGCCGACCTGCCCACCTTAAGTGTTTTCTGTGCTGTCGGCATTATGACGAGGATGGTTGCTCATGCCCACTCCACCGCCAAAGAGACAGCGCCAGCCCCGTATCCTTCACCTGTGAAGGAGTGGTGTCAGTTGTTGTCCCTAGTGCCTGGGTGACTGATGTAAAGGAAACCACTTCTGAAATCACATCCTTTTGTCTGGGTCGGTTTGGCCAACAGAAAGTGGTATCTCTGTTACTCGTAGCGCTGCCAGTAGTATGAATTTAACATAAGGTGGCGGTAAGGTAGTTTGTCGGAATGAAAACGGCGGACAATTTCTTCATTTGTGCCCTACAACAGGGGAGCCATAACCAGCACCTGTTAACCCCAGCTGTATCGCCAGGTGGTCAGGTTCGGCGAAAAGTTGACGTCGCGGGCAGGATTCGAACCTGCGCGGGGAGACCCCATTGGATTTCTAGTCCAACGCCTTAACCACTCGGCCACCACGACCGGTCGGAGGGCGCGACAGATCCATTGTGATGCCCTGCACTCAACTGGACTTCGGCTGCATAGTCTCGGTAAGTTGTAGTTAACATCACTGTGATCTGAAACGACATTCAAAGCTTTGTGTTTGACCAACCATTATGTTTTATGCCAATACCAACGAGTGAGTCTTGGGACTGCTGAAATTGGCTTCGTTTTCCTGCACTATCAGAACTTCTGACAACGGTAGTACGTAGATCTCTGAGTGAGTTGGGTGCGCATGTGTTACAAAGCTGCGATGTGCCAGATGGTGAGTTGTAATCATGAAACCTTACCATTCTGCGTGACGTGTGAAGTACCTTCACTGCGGTTGGCATGGTTTGTGAGAATATGCGGTCAAATTGGTCATACGACGTTGTTGTAACCTACAGTCACCAAAGTTTTTAGTCACAACGCTACACAACCGAAATGTTCTAACGAGCCTGTCTAAAATTCCATTTTGAGACTAGCTGGATGCATATGAAGCAATGGCAAGATATTAAACCAGGCAAATATAACAAACGGAGATCAAGGTACCGTCATTTCATCAATCTTTAGTGGTCTTAATTAATGTTTTATTGTATTGTCCGAAGTGGGTGGTGATCTAGACATTGTTAATAAATGGCCGAAAATGGGATAAAGAAGAGTCTTCTACATGATCAAAGAATCGGAACCCTGATGAGCTGTCAAGGTATGAAAGTTGAGGAGGTGCAGAAAAACCACGTTTCGGACCGAGTTGATATGCACAGACATTCCGAAATTCTAAGACGACGAACTTTTGACTAGATACCCGGAACAACACTACCGAAGCTGTAGGACACAGGGACAAAACGGTTAAGTCTGTGCAATATTGTGCATGTTAATCGGCTTCAACTGATCGGTCATTAGTGGAAACATGGTGCTCTATCGGCAAACAGTTGGAAGACTAGTTAAGTTCCCACGGATAACCGTAGATATCTGGAAATATAGGACAAATATACTACGATGAAGCTAGACCTAGCGTTGTGAAATGGCCGTCGAGTAGTCCAAATCAAATCAAGCTGCGAGCAATAAAAGCAGCCACTTCAAGCCCATCATTATTTAGCTTACCAATTGTATGACCGTATGAACAATGCCAACAAGGTCGACCTTCGTCGGTTAGTTCCAAGTAGTTTGTATTATCACGCGGAACACTCCGGAATGTTAAGCCTACAGAAAAGTTATGAGAGTGACTTTCCGTAACAGCAGTTGTGCGCCCGAATTTCACTAGCTAGCCAGCTGTATAAGTGATCTGTCGATGCAGATGATCAACCGCAATCCCCACACACTGGTTAAATGCCCCCTCCCACAGGTGACTTGAGAATCAGCTTGCTTGTCATTTCGGAACTGTTCACCCTTATCCATCATTTTGTCTCAGTTCTTGGGAGTAACACTGGGTTTAGTGCCGTGCGGTTAGTTCTACATACGGCAGTACACAATCCCTAAGTGTTATCTATTCACCGGTTGGATGAACAAGTCTGGAAACAAATGCTTATTAACTACGTTGGCTTGTTTTTTTATATTGCTGCGGTAATTTGAAGCCTAGCTAGTGTACAAGAACCGGTTTGGGACTTGTTCCATGCAACGGTTGTTGCTGACACTTGTAAAAAAATCAGACTAATTAGAAACAAGCCAGCTGTTTTCTCCGGAAGTATAGAAAGTCTGGAACAGATTCTGAGTAAAAACCGTAGGATATAGGCAAGGGAAATATCGACCCATAATGATGCATTATTATCCTTGTACGGCTACCCATTCAAAAGTCAAGTCGAGCGTAAAAGTGACACTTGAGGTCTATTGCCAGTCGGGCTTGAATGGACAGAGAATGCCAGGGTGTAAAGTTAAGGCCTCAAATAAAATTCATCAACTGCGCACATTAGTCGGTGGGCGCATGGTCTAGAATTTACAGCATGTAACCCTTAACCGAACAGTCACGTGTCTAATCCCTCCATATCGACCTCGTGAGTTACAATAGTGGCGAAATCGCTCGTGCGGGTGAAGTTTTCAGCATCTGGCTGCATATTTACCTCAAATATCCTGTAAAATGAATGACAATCACAAAACAAATGAACCTGTGACAAAAAATTACCCTTACAAGATGACAGGAAAGGTACGGTCATCAGGAAGTGAACACTTACCGGGTGTTCAAGCGTTGCACCATCCAGCTGCACTGCACCGAATCTGTACTGCGATTGTGACATTTCGCTAAACCTGGTCCAGTGTTCTTACTGTTCGCTAAATTACTGGCTAAGTCCTGTCTAGCCCAGTGTAAGAAATCCTGCTGATGTGAGGCTGTGGGGGCGTGCTTTGGCAGGGAGTGTAGTAAACTAATATCACCACATCACTGCAGCAATTCTTTTTAGGAAGCACGGTGAGTGATGAAGGGAATTAAAATATGTTTGCCCTTCGGATTTACGGGTTTTTGCCTCATCAAAGTGTAGAAATGAGAGTTATTCGTAGTCAATATTGTCACCCAGATTGGGGTGTTTCTCCTTCACTCTAGACACATTGCAAAGACACTGGTTATCGAGATAACCGTTTTAGTTCCTTCGGCACCAAGAAAACTTCAGTAAGCTGTTCGGAACGGAATCAATCATCTATCAGAAATCGAGCATGTGGATACATGCGGGGGTTCTTTTGACATGACATCCGCTCACGTAAACTAGCTGAATTTTCCGAGTTTCCGTCAACTTAACGTTCTACTTGAAACCGAATTGCACGAAATTAGCGAAATACACTCATTTGCAAACTAATTCGATTTTGCGAGGGACTCAACTGGAACCCAGCTGAATCTCTCGTTTTCTGATGATGTCCCCAGGCAACTGAATGTGCTGCACCAGACCGCCTCATGTTTTAGTTGCTACGATATTCGAGATATCGCGATATATGCATACTCGTAATGCACTGCTCCTAGGATTGCTGAAAATCCTTCGACAGCCTAGGACCGGTTTCGCCCTTCTTGGGGCTCATCAGGTAGGTGCAGTCCCCAAGTTTCTGTCAACCTTATGTTCTAAGTGAGACCAAATTGCAAGAAATTAGCTAACTACACTCATTCGTACTCATCACAATGTGTCGAATATCGTAGCAACTGAGACATGAGGCGGTCTGGTGCGGCACATTCAGTGGCCTGGAGACATCGCAGACGAGAGATTCAGCTGGGTTCCAGATGCGTCTCTCGCAAAACCAAATCTGTTTGCAAATGAGTGTACTTCGCTAGCTGATTTATACTTATTCGGTGTTCAGGTTCCCGATAGGGTACGCGTAGATTCGACAATCCCGAATATCAACGGGTAGAACTGGGTTCGTAATTCTACGGAACTATTTACACAACGTCAGGCAAATGTATACAACGAACATCAACTCTCCGCGTCCGTAGATTCGACAAGTGAGGGAGTCTGTCACTGACCGGCATAGTGCAGTTTCAACGTCCGCACACCAAAACAACGGTGCGTGGAATGTTGGCTCAGCAGTGTGGGTTGCGGTCACCCCTTCCGACAAGTGATTCTGATTGGCTGTGCGATCACATGAAAATTAGTAAGAACGAGTCAGGTCAAGCAGGTGGGACACGAGCACGCATGGGTAAGTAGGTCAGCTGCGCACATTCGCACACATACAAGCATACATTTAACATACATGCATCGGGCGCGGCGGTGTTTGTGACAAGGTAAATGTCGGTTGCGATCACAAAATTTGGGGTGCATGATAAGCAAATGAATGCGGGAACTATCATGATGTCAAGTCGGACTCACTATGTGGTGTGCGTGACCCATCGCCCTGAGATAACGCTACCAAATACCCTACATGCATCTGATGAGCACGAATGCGGACCCAGTTCATTTCAAATTCAAGTGCAAGACTTGATACGTATCAGCTCCTGTCTTCGTGAAGACTACACTTGCAGGTTACCCTCCACTTATTCATTTAGCTTGCAATTGCTTGGAGTAGGGTATAACGTGGAAACGATCTTTGACGCACCCAGTCGAACGACAGTACAATTAACGCAGTGAATGTAAAGCCTTTCTCACTTAGACGATTTCAAATAGACGAAGGAATAAAAAAATATGGGCCAGTATGATGTAACAGGTCACTGTTGGCGACCAGATGGGTACGAAAGAAACCCGACCTATATCCAAGCAGGCTCAAAGAATTACTGCGGACGTTCGCCATTCTCTGACTGCGTTACATCTAGGTGCATGTGTCAAGCACTCCCTCCATCTTGAGAAACGAGTTAGATACACAATTTGTACATCACCTAGAATGCCTCCAGACGGTTTCTCTAAATAAGTCAATACTTTTTAGTGAGGAGTCATACTACCATTACTTTCGAACTTCCACTCTCAAGTAAGGGTACCTTCCATTTGGATTTCCATTTGTCATGAGGAGTAGTTTGGTCGCCAACCATCAGAGGTTGATCGGCTTGTAAACGTGAAATCCTTACACATTCGATAGCGCTATCCGTATGTGAAATTCCGCTTGATCGCATCTGAAACTACATCCCGAACGTAACTCTATAGCCTAACTAGATGGTCGGAGGCTTGACATATAACTAGTCACGTTATAACCACCAAGCCAATGTCTTCCGGTCATACCGTTCTTCAGATTCTTGCATACTATGTCAGTGCCACCCTTATCTTTTTCACTCTAGAACCTGTAGCGCATGGAAGGAAGGAAATGTGTTGTAGTCTCCATCTCATCCACTGTGCAACGTACGTTTTCTCGTTTTCTTTCTGGTGAAGGTATTTGTGTGCAGTCCTAATCTACCAGAAAACAAACTTTAAAAAGGGCCATTTTGGTTAGCTGGTTTAACGACGATTACGATGTCCTATTTTCTGAAATATTGTAATCATTCTGAGAGTCATAAAATAACAAAGTGGGGGTGATATGTCCCGGTGGTGCGAATTCACTGACAGAAAGGCCGGTGGTTCGCACCCGACCCCTGCATGATAATAATGATAATGATAATGAAAATAACAAAGCGCTGTATGTTTGTGTGGCAAACCTCCCACGATGGATAAGACCCTCTTGATCCACACACTGTTGTGGAGCTCGCTGTCAACGGCATCCATCTGTCTTGTCATAAGTTCCCATATGTTTTAAATGGGATGAGAACCCAAGTGATACATCCAAAAAGGGATGTCTGCCATTTGGGATAGATATTCTGGTAGAAACACAACTTTCGGTAGGGTGAGGAGATTTGTGGAATTCTCACTTACGATTTCGTCCTGTAAGTTAAGCCAAACAATTAACTGCTCAGCCTATTAACCGAGAGGTCGCGGGTTCGAAACTCCCCGGACTTTCGTTGGATGCGCACAGTTGGTGATTCTCAATAAGGATGAAACATTTAAAAAGCACTTCTTGATTCTCCAGTACGGAGTAGCTTCACTTCCACGATGAAACATCAATAAAAAACAAAATGGTTCATCGATCATCAAACTGTTTCTTTCGTAGAAGACTGGCTAGTAAGAATTCCATCACGTATGTTTCCACAGCTATAACGGAATGTGGTCATGTGCTATGAGTTTTTTCGCGTTGTCTAGAGTGACTGCTCCACCAATACATTATTGTTGTATATCAATGGATAAGACACACCAGTGAAGGGAAGGAGGCCTTCGCCGCAGAGTCATTTATTAGGAAACGCCAAATGAACAGTTACAGACTATTGGACAGGGAAGCACATACATCTTGTTTACAAAAACTGAATATCCATCTTCTCTTTGAACGCGTCTTCATGAAATTTCCCGGATATTCATTGACTGTTGCTCAAATGCAAGCAAACGCGACTCCACAAAGTCCGTAATAGCTCTCACTTTTTAAGAGAGGCGAAGCAGATTTACAAGAAAAATACTACTCGCATACCCCATCAGTAGTTTCCACCGTTAGACCAGTACTCCATGATGAAATGTCCATCAGCCCATGTCACATGGACTAGAATATGACTCGTAAAAGATATTAGTTATCACGGACATATGTTCTAGTGTAACAATGAATATAAACCAGGTCAGCGTCACCCATTTGCAGACTTCATAGGGGAATAGACACTAAAAGGGGTGATTTGGGCGTGTACGCTCTAAGGGACAATGAGGCATAAATTAGCGCATTTCCTATGCTGACAAAAACGTCTCCTATTATCAGATCCATTAACCATACAAAGTTGCCGCTCGCGTATTTTTTTCATAACTCCTGGTTCACTAGGGTAATTTAGCGACATTCGTACCTGTGATTCCAGTACTGTTTCAACTGATATTCGTCTGACATAGGCGGTTTGTGCAATCATGTTGCAGGAAAACGGTGATAAGGAAAAAGGGCTACATCAGGACATCTTATTTTGTTTTGTCCAGTGGTTCGGACTTGCAACTCCACATGCGTACTGTAAGAATGACAAATTCATACGAGTAATGTTGTACGCATATCGTAAGCTGTAGTTTCAGATTTGTCAAGTTCATTCGAGCCAGGTAGGACCTATCGGTGTTTCAGGGTATTGCCCTTTAACGTAACAGTCGATCAATGAGCCTGAATAATGACGTTTCAATTGATAAATTAGTCAGCCACTTGACTGTTTTCTTTCACGAATTTTTCCACCACACCAACAGAAGAAACGCCATTAAAGGAGTGGCCTAGGGTAACACTCCATCCTTCGTTCTGAAAAATTGTTGTAAGGCCATTTTAGCTATAAGGAGCAAGTGGTGTCCCGTTTCTTCCACAGTGTTCCATAACTCCAAACTACGAACGTCGTAAAAAAATTGCATTTGCAACCCTCTCATCCAGCATCCAGAAATTCATTCCTGATTTGTCTGGTTTACTTGCTCGTGATGGACAGTTGGCGATTTTCGATGTGTTTGCTTGTTCTTCCACGTGAAATAAGGATTCTTTCGGCAAATTCTTAAGGAGGCATGGGAAGTATCAGGAATGTAGATGAACACATCAGACGTTTGGTCAGCTAAGGTCTCGAATGTGAGTCCCATCATGGATATCCTAATTCCATTCGTACTCAGCACATCCGGGGAAATTTAACCTAGAAATTGGTGGCTCTTCAAAAGTGCCGCTTGAGCTGAAATCCGTAAACGTACTAAAAGCCAGTGAACGTGAGCAGCTCCTATATATCTAGCTTGGGTCACTTTTGTTGTGTTTTCTACAGCTGGGAATTCCAGCTGGACCTTAGTACGTTGTACTCCGGGGGCACGACACAGTGCTTGGGATTTCCAAGAGCTTGTCTGATTCACGCACATACTAAAATCTCGTACCATAAGACATGCTGAATAAGACTGGTGATATGATGAGGAGATCTGGAGAGTTCGACCGAGGATGCCGAGGAAGTCACTCTTCGCCGAAGAGCCTAGAAACACCGTAAAGCTGGTTCATCCTTACTGGGCATCATCAACAGGGCACAGTGGAGAGTTGAAAGCTCACACTCCCGGCTAGTAGTTCGATCATGAGCAGCTGATCGACAGTAGAGGTAAATTGCACTGAGAAGGGATGCAGTGTCGCTCAACCTTCAGCCACGGAATTCATCTTGAGTGGCACTATATCTTGTCTGAGTGCGAGTTAATCATACCGCTAAACCGGAAGCTGCGAGTCCACATCTCCCTGGAGATTCGTGAGACACACGGTGCTGCAGATTCTCAGGAAGAATGAAATCGCTGCTTCTCGACTGTTCAGTGGGGGTTGACTTTATTCACTGGACGAGAATGAACACAACGTCCGAGCGCGTCAGTCAGTGCCGGAAAATGAAACCGATTGTGAATAAGCCTAGACCAGGTTTTTACCCTGAAAAGCCTGCCTGGTGTTGGGCA